CTTATGTAGGTGTCACGTCACGTTACGTTTATGTAATGTCCCATCTGATATAGTCACGTTACGTTTATATAAGTGTCACGTTATGTTACATTTACACTCAATTTCCTATTTATGATTTTACCATTATTTATGATATTAACAATTAATATTGAGGGTAAATATGTTAACAAACTTCACACAAAACTTATGAGAATATAAATTTTTTAGTAAAACCGTATATAGCATAAGTCTCCCTAATAGGACTTATAAATAATTTTTTCAAAATTATAAAAGGGTCTATTCTTCACAAAGTTCATTCTTTTATCAAGCGGACATTTTTTGTTGAATATATTACAAAAGTAGTGAGTTACACAAATAAGATTACTCTTGCAAGCAACCTCATCATTTGCACAACTATGTTAATTTAACAAAAACAAAAGAAACATGTTGTTTAATCGATGTTTTGTTTGTCAATGGTCACAAATAGTTATTTTTTCACATCATTGAAAAATGTTGTAATGATGGAAGTGAGCCTATTAAGGTCAAAAACAATAAAAAGTCAACTACCATAACCTATTCTTATTTATTTTTAATTATAATTTTCTAACAAAAAATACTACACAAATCAATAAATTTTACAAATTCTTCTTACTATGCAATAATAATATTTTAAAACTTAAAACAAGATGCACTTCATTTATGTAACAGTTGTCAAATCAATAAATAAATATAAAAAATTTATATAACATTATTTGTTTTTAATCCCAACCTATCTATTATTTAGGATGCATAATCCTTTGATTATTCGACATTAAATAAATAAATAAATAAGAGTGGTATATGATTTGACTTTGTTGTAATGGAGTGGGCATATACATATACCAAATTCATTTAGCACCACAAAGACAATTTGAAGGATACTTTGAGGGATTTTATTCTTTATTAAAGCTTATTATAATTAAATATTTTGGTCAAGTAATTAAAAAATGCAGGATTCTTCTTGATTTATGAATATTTGTATTGACGGTTCCTATGTTTAACTAGTATTTACATTTTTTTCCAAATTAATGTTATATGTGTGAAATAGCTTGTGCCTAATGGTTGTGTAACTTGCCTTTTTATTATCGTACAACAAACATTTAAGTCAAATATCCAATGGAAAAAAGGCAAGCATAAAGATTTTGATTTTCAGCAAATTGTGTTAGCTCGATTGGCCACTATACACTTCTATCTATGCGAGCAGTTTTTGTCAAAAGCAAAGATTTGCATTTTCTTCTCCTTGTGGGGTTCTTTTGTTAAATTAGTTGACATGCATTACCGGGTTTCTATAATTGTTTGACTCTTATTATTCAGATGTAATTATTTTCATATTTGTAAATATTCTCTAACCGATTAGATAAAAAAAGATATTTTCATTTCATCCATTTAATGAAGAAGCTAGATCCACAAAACATATACTTTAAGGACAAAAACTGAATTAATATTTTCTTGCTAAACTATAATTTTTTTTTTATAAAAAAATATACTTGATTTTGACGACATCAACCAAAGCCATGACGACTATTTTAGCACACATTTAATACTTTGGGGACAACATCGAAACAATTGAGGTTTTAAAGATCAAAACAACATAAAGTGCATATTTTAGGGACTAAAAACATAATTAAGCCAAAATGTTAAAAAAATAGTGTTGTACAAGTGTTGACCTTGGAAAAATGAAGAACAAATAAATTAAGCGTCACCCTAAAGGATTTTCCGAGGATTTGATTCTTTTCCCCAAAAAATTTATTAGTCAACAGAAAAAATGAAATTTATCACTAGTCTCATGTGTTGCTTAATTTGAGGATTTGATTCTTTGACATTAATAATTTAGTCCATACAAAATATTAAATTCATCACTTGGGTGCTTCTTAATTATGAGCTCAAGAGATAGGTTTTATGTTTGGAATTGAGACAATCACAATGAAATACACATTAAAATTTTCTTTATACTCACCTCATGCAATGTAACTCTTGATTTATTAGATATATTTAACAACTCTGGATACAACTTATTTTAAATAAAAATTATATTTGTGTAATATTATTCTCACAATATTTTTTGACTTTTATTTTATTTGGCATAGATATCTTGTGATTTGCCTCTTATTTACTTGGCAAGTTGGCATACATAACTTGTGACCACTACTACCTACCCTTTAGTTGAAAAACATAGAAAATGAGAGAAATTTGAGCAAAGTATGGGTAACCTTTTAAAATTCTCTACCTAATTGAACTTTGACTTATTTGATGTTCTAGAATCTAGATTTATGCAAAACATTTCAAATGTTCTCTAACATGGAGGTATATTAAAATGAAGCAAAAAGTCTTCTCCTAATTTGACATTTTTTTATTCCTTCAATTATAACCTCCCCTACAGCATATTGCCAAAGCTCCAATATTTAACTTAAAATTGGAAAAATTAAAAGGAGACTTATTTATAAGTCTTATTTCGGATACTTATGTTATGTTAAGTCCTGTGTAATTTCTTATAGAGTTTCAAGTCGTATTTAGATAAGAATGTATTCCACAAGATCCTATGAGTTGTAAATAAATCGTATTAATATATTATTATACACTATAATGACAAAACCATATATAGAAAATTGAATGTTACCATAGATCATATCTATATGAATGTGAATTTCAAAATACACGAACAAGTAACATTTCACATTTAATTTAAAAAATAAAAAACCTAGTAAGTTTGCGAAACGTAACGTGACACGTTACGTTACGTTTATGTAGGTGTCACGTTACGTTACGTTTATGCAGGTGTCTGTTACGTTACGTTTATGTAGGTGTCACGTCACGTTATGTTTATGTAATGTCACGTCTGATATGGTCACGTTACGTTATGTTTATGTAAGTGTCACGTTACGTTTCGCAAACTTAATCTATGGTAACATTCAATTTCCTATATATGGTTTTACCATTATTTATTATATTAACAACTAATATTGAAGGTAAATGTCACGGACTTATGAGAACATAAATTTTTTAGTGGGACCGTATGTAATATAAGTCTTCCTAATAATACTTATAAATATTTTTTCCAAAATTTTATAAAAGGGTCTATTCTTCACAAAGTTCATTCTTTTATCAAGCGGACATTTTTTGTTGAATATATTACAAATGCCAGTTGTATTTGTTAAACATCTACCGAGAAGATTTAACCTTACCTTCGGTATCTGGTTGCACAAGAATCAAATCTTTTTCATTATCATTAATCAAGAATATCACTATTTCAAATTCAATATAAAATAAATTAATTGAGCTAGTATAGTTGATTACGCTTGAATACTCTCAATTCACATGTCAGGGAATCTAAAAGCAAAGTTCGATTTTTATTAATTGTTTATATTTATTTATTTTTCATTATAAGACTCTTTCTTGTATTGATGTAGTAGTTTTAAGTTTTGGCCTTACGATTATGTGTTCTTAGACTTTCTTGTAATTTGATTGTCCAATTTCACATAATTTCTCCCAACAAGAAATGGCTAAAGGTAAATCATCATGGTCTCATAAATTAAAACTTGGGTAAATTAATCCTTCACATCAAATCTCAATTAATTCTTCACTTTTTAATCATAAGTTAGTCCATTGCACTTTCAATCAAGTTGCAATTTGACCCTTTTGATAATTTGTCGTTAAATTGCCTAACGAAAATTGTTATGTAATTCTAATATGAGACAATTTTAGGACAAAAATATAAAATACTTTTTCTTTTATTTTCTTCTTCTCTATTTGCTCACTGTATTTTATTCTTTTTGCTTTTAATTTACCTTGTTTGAGGGGACAAATGAAAATAAAATACTACATGACAAGAGATGATAATTCAAACATTTCTTAACAACAAACAAAATCTTTGAAGGACATTGTTTTTTAGGTTGTCTTTTGTGCAACTTTTTTTTCCGTGATTTTTCTTAGATAATATTAAAAGTTGAACTTTTTATGGGTTTTAAAATATATATCTAAAAAAGTTGTCTAAAAAACTAACATAAATGCAATTGTCAAACCAAGCCTCTCTGTGATGCTGCACACGTCTAAAAATAATATATTATCTGCTTTCAAGAAAAAGATAAATCAAAGCCTAGAAAATATTCTTTTCTTTTTTTTTCTTTTCTTTTCTTTTCTTTTTTTAAAATTTTATTTTATGAAAGATTGTCTGAACCTAACAGTTTTTTTTTGTCTTTAAAATAAAAGTGAAAACATTTGACATAACACGACATAAAACAAACACGGACTAAAAATAGTAAAAGACGGTAACACAAAAAAATAAAATGATTGAATTAATGTTGAACTAATTTTGATACAAACCCGAAATAACATGGCACAATGTCCACCTTAAAGCATCACCCTAAATTTTTTGCTTTTTTAAATGACCATATTTGGTAAATTTTCTAGCTTTTTGGCTTTTAAATATAAAATGACCAATGTGTCTTCTAGCTTTTAGGCTTTTCTGCAAGTCACCCTTTATTTTCAAATGAGACTATTGAATCTCTCTTTTTTTATGTTAAAAAATTCAAAATTTGACTATTACTTATAGTTTTTAATATCAAAAAGCCCTTCCCAAACCAAACTTTTAAGCCCAGGCTAAAATAGCCAAAAAAGCCAAAAAGCCAAAAAGCCAACCCACTTCCCAAACCAAGCCTGAGTGTGATATGGTTATGGATCTAATCTATGCATTTAATAGTTAGCCCAAAGGAAGCCTTATACTGCATTTGAATTAATTGTTTTTACTGAATTTTTAATGTAACTATGAGTTTTTTTGGGGCATTTTTTAAAAAATTTATATTAAATTGGGTTAATTACACCATCACCCTCTTAACTATTTGTAAATATCATTTTACTTCTCTCATCCATGAACTTGTAGATTTTGAACCCCTCATCGATGAGACCTCTATCTGGTTACTTTAAATGCATATATATATATATATATACACATTCTTTTGTTAAGCTCAATATTTGGAAAGAAGAAATACAGTTGAATATAACTTAAAGCCTTCTAATTTCAAGGGTAATATAATTTGTGCAACAGTTGTCTTAAAACTGACAGCTAAAAATTTAAAATAAACAAGGACAAAAGGAAAAAAGTAAAACCCTGAAGAAAAAAAAATACTGTTGGGTACCTCAATTGAGTTCCTAGAGTAACGGATCAATGCGATCCTAGATATTGGCAAATTTTCCTCGCTGACTATCTCCAGGTATTAGTACGATTTGGTCGTTGATTCCAAATCTGGGTTATCTTCTCTCTTTTTTCCCCTCTTAGTGCGACTCTGCTTCAAGAAGGATGTTCGTGGCTGCATTGATGTCGTTTCTGGCATGCATAAGCGCCTGCCTGGCAGAGTTCCGGTCAAAACCCATTGAAACGAGTGTTGCAATAGAATCCTCTGGTGGCTCTATGGTGGATGGCATGGGAGGTGCAGGGTAATTTGCCTGAAATTGAGTAAAAAGAATACAGATGATTGAAGGAAAAGATAATGCTGGGGTGGGGGGGGTAAAAATAACAACAGGACAGTCGGTATTTTATCTAATATCTAATATTCATACAAAAGTTGAAATGATATGTAAAGCAGAATCTGGGAAATGGGTGTTCACAGCATATAATCTGGGAATCACTTTTTATTCACAGCATTCAACCAAATGAATTGTGAAAAGCAGACAACTCGTAAACAAATTTTTTTTTTTTGGGTTCAGAAACAATTGAACATATAAGTGATTATTAAAGCCTCGTTTGGGAACAAGCTTCTTTAATAACTTTTTGATTTTTTGTCTAAAATATAATGTAAAAAAAACTAGTATGTTCGGGATGACTTGTTGACTTTTTGATTTTTTTAGTGATTTTTTCACTTTTAGGCTAAAAGGTGATGTTGGTAATCCAAGAAAAATTACACCAAATCATTGTAAATATCCAAAAGTGATTCATTCTTTGATGCATGCCAGAAAAAAAAAATAATAAATCTATATTTTTCATACATATATGCATATATTACTTAACTGAAAAGAAACTATAAGGCCTTGTTTGGTTTGTTTTTGAGAAACAAATTTTCAAAATTTTGTTTGGTTTAGTGATTTTGAAATTTTTTTTTTCCAAAATCACTTTATATCTTCTACACATCAATCAATCACTTTTTCTCTCTCCTCTCTCATTCTCAATCATTTTTTCTCTCACACACATTTACTCAATTACAACAAAATATCAAATCATCTCAAACTCTCATATTCCAAAACTATTTCCAAAATATACAACCAAACAAATCAAAAAAAAATATAAACTTTTTCTTTCCCCAAGATTTTTTTTGAAATTTATCTCTCAAAACCAAACCAAACACACCCTAAATATTCATATAATCTATACTATATATTATGAATTCATGCATATAACATAAGCCAACAGAAAATACACTTGCCTCTACTTGGCGAGCTGTGTAGGAAGGTATGTTCCCAAGAACATTTCTACTAGGTGCTGCAGGTGGTGTGCTCCCAACAGATGGCCAAGAAAACCGCAAAAAGAATGAGGCAATGAAGTCCGGCAACTGAAAACAAGAAACAGAGTTGCATAATCATGTATAACTTTCAGATACATCACACTGATCTCTGGTAACGTCAACCTTCTGGGCTCAAGCAATGTCAATCTAGGGAAATAGGATTGTGACAATACACAAAGTTGATCTTCTTTAAACCCATCATTTCAAGTTGATATGCTCTATTTATAAAGCCCTTCTCTCCTCCTGAACATTTTAGCCCTTATATGATAACCTTAAACTGCACTTCTTTCTAATATTCTCAAGGACATGTGGACTCCTTGAAAAGTGAATTATCAAAACAGAAAGGGCAATAATCTATACAATAATGCAAGAGTTACCACATTTTAATACCATATTATGTTGATCATGTTATTTGTCGGCACAATATTGATGGTAATATGCTATAAAAATGTGGTGTCTTAATCGATGTTGTAGAAGAGCAGTTATAAACAAGAAATATATCCTGTATTCTGGAGTCAGCACTCTTAGATTCGGGGCATCAAGGAGTGTATCCACTTTGAAAAAACTAACATCTTACAATGATTGAGAACATGTACTTGGGTCTGCAGCTCAGATACAATTGCTTTCCTCCTACCCATACATCCAATTGTGCTACAATACAGCATCAACAATGCACAAAGTCATAGACATATGGCATGGCCTATTTTAAAACTCATTTTAGATATTTTAACTTTTTGAGCATAAAATTATATCCTCGTGCGTGCTCAACGAATTTGAATGCCCCTAACCAACATAGATCACTGAATTACCATGTGAACTAGGTTAACATTTAGGTGTGCAAATAGACAATAAGATATACTTAAAAAATATACAGAACAGAACAGAACCTTTAGCCTGCGGATGTGAAGGACATTTAAGCGATATAAGGAACCAGCAAGGATGCCACATATTCCCGGCAAAATAGATCTTTTCCAGGACGACAAAAGAAGCTGCAAGATACAAACTCAAATTAAGATGAAGGAAGAATGGGAACAACAGAAGTGTTAAGCATTTTCAATGAGCCCATGTTCCAGATAATTGCCACAGGAGAACTTCAATTACCTGAAGACCAGCTAAATATATGAAAGATTTGTCCGAAAAGCGGAGGCCAAATACACGGAACCGTGTTGAAACTGGAATGTCAAGATAGAAGGGTACAAATGAAGAAAATATCACACCATAGGGACCAGATGTGAGTACATTCAAGGTGGGATCTGCACACACAAAAAAAAAAAAAAAGACAACAGCTACTAAGTTGGAAATTTATTGGAGAAATATGGTGTAAATTTTACCTACAAGACTATTGCAGCAAAAGCACCTTGTGGTGACAAGAATTATGTTAAACAGTAATAATAATACGATAAAACAGTCCCAAGAAGATAATACTTGAACTAGACGCAACGTCATGGGAAAATACAAGCTATAGATACATATTTCGTATTGTGCGTACGAGTGCAGCCGTACCGGTTAAGTACTCAATATTTGTATGGCAATATTTTCTGAGTACCCATGCTTCATATTCTCATTACTACAGTTAAGAATATGTGGGTTCAGTTACTGCAACATTGGCCTTTTACTACCGATTTGGGAACAATTAGGAGGAGTTTATGATTGCATCCTTGCTTTCTAGTTTAGATTCCAATCTACATGGCTTCAAGGATGATATTCTCGCTTGTGATATTCTCGTTTATTGTGCTCATCGTTAGGCCACAGGTAGCTTTACGGACTAAATTGTGATTGATCAAGGTCTTGTAATTTATGTTATGGCAAAGCTCTAAACCTGACAGATAAAAACTCTTGGGAGTTCAGTTGGTGGCAGGAGAGGGGCTTGGGCTTGTAGTCATTGATGAAACCAAATGTGAATCGCAGATAGACAAAATACAGAGAAGAGAATTGGAAGCAATCATATATTGTATTTCTTGGAGTTCTTCGAAAACTACTACATCCTTCTTTTTCTTAAAGCTGCCTTAGTTTCTCTGTAAAAATCACAGTTGAAACTTCTCGGATCACTTCAAAAGATGGAATGTAAATGGTGCTTTTAAAGGTAAGCTAACAGCATTGTTTGCAATTTTAAGTGACTTCTATATTCATTCTTTCAAACTATTAGTAAAGCTTCAAGAAATGGCAAATGGTCATCTCTGCTTGACCTTATCGCTTAATATCTCATACCATTGACCAATTGACATTGTAGATGGTCACTGCAATCCTAAAAAGTCAAGGTTTATTTGGGAAACCAAGATTGGTTATCTAGGCGTTCCCACACTTCAGTGTCATCTAAACCCACCGGTGCCATGTACATTTGCAATGTTGGGCTGCCTTTTAAGTTAATAAGCTTTGTCCTCTGGCTGACCTTCCAACTAAGATATTAGGTTGACCAAGAGTAGACTGGTCAAGCTCACCTTTAGTCGCACGAAGTGGGGGAGGAGGCAAGGGCAGGAGCAAGAGCGGGAGTGGGAGCAGAGAAGCAAGGGTATATAGAAGTTTCTAAGGTTAGGAGCATCTATGGGAGCGTATATATACTTTATATATTAAATAAATAAATATATTCTAACAATTATTTGTTGTTGCTAGTTGTAATATATGTGTTAAATATGAATAAACATTAAAGATTGATGTCAACTACAAATTGTCTCTGTTAAGTATAAATGAATATTATGTAAATAAAAAGTATTGGAAAAAGGGAGATTTTTTTTTTTTTTAGATTTGTATGTTTGAGAGGTTCTATCTCAGTTGGGAGTAAGTTTCTTCCTCGATGGGAGCGAGTCTCTTACAATTTCTTACTTGGGAGAGTAGAATCGCGCTCTTCTTTACAGGTATGAGAGAAATAAGGAAATAAATTCCTAATTGTGCGTTAGAAACCCCAAACTACAAGAATTAATTAAATTTATATTCTAACAATGACAACCTCTATGATTATGTACTTGCCCTTCAGATGGATATATTTTTCTTCAATACACTGTACAACATGAAAATGTATGAGAGCAAGAAAGAAAACATGTTTTGCCAAGGACTAAAATACAAGTTAGAAACAAAGGGGAGAAAAAAAGGAAAGATAAGCAGTGCACCAATGGTGCGTATTATTAGAAATTAAAAGAGCATCAAGCAGGATTATGGTGAACATTGTATACCTTTAAGTAATGCTAATGCAAGGACCTCAAACAGTAAAGATACAATAACTGAGAACAGGACAAACACCTGCACAACAAGAAGCAGGTATTAGAAAGTTGAACTCCATGCCAACACACAGAAAAGTAATAAAAAAATAAATAATAATTAAAAATTGTCCGTTTATTCCTTTTTTAAGTTTCTATGGAGAGAAATATTAACAATTAATTAGAAAAGATGAACGCCAACCATTCATCAAAACCAATGAAAAAGTCATCCAATATTTTTACTAGAGAATTATTTGTAAAAACATAAATATCAGATAGAGAATTTATTAGCATAAAAATTTATTTTGTAGGCAAATAAAGAGCAGCAAGATAAACTGGTTAAAAAAACTAGGAACGCGCAAACGTGAGGAATTCGTAAACAGAAACAATATTTAATCATTCAAGCAATGTTTAGCTCTTGGCTGCATTATGTCCAAGACCTGAACCAAAGGGTAGTATAATTAGAAGATGGCATGAATTTTCATCCTGAATATTGAGAACCAGTTGGTTGAACAGATTAATGCAGTTGACCTTTCAATTGTTAACCACTGGTCACAATAACAACGATTATTTAGTTCAATGCGTGATAGAAACATGTTCAGAAATGAAGCTTAATATTACATGAGCGATGAAACTGTTATTGTTGTTAGACACTAGAAATGGGTCCAAGTCAGGAGACACTTAAGTGATAAGGAATCCATAAGACAAGAGTGCATAGCATTTCTTTTTCTTTTATTGCATCATTTTATTCAGATCTATAAAAGTTAATGATATAAAATAAAAATTAAGAGTTGGAAAAAATAGAACCTGTCAAAATAAACATGAAATTCGATAAATAAAACCCCCCTTCAACTAATGGCCAAGACTTTAGCCAGCAAGTTATAAAAGAAGCATTCAAGCTCCTCTCAAACTCCCCATACTCAAAGAAATGATGCGTCATCCCCGTCACCTCCTCCCTATCTCCTCCCTATCATCCCCATCACCTCCTCCCTCACTACATCCCAACATTGTTGCAAGTCCATGACATCCCACCTAGACCTGGATTGTCAACATTTAAACAATTAAAAATACCCACCACTTCCTCTTCAATGAAAGGCTTTTCCAGTCAAGCCTTATTCCCTTAAGATATCCTATAAAATTCCATCCCATCCAGTCTCGGTTGCCTCTGAAGCGTTTCCGCATACAACCCTCATAAAAGTCAAAAATCCCCTACTGATTCTCTTCCTCTCATTATAACTCAGTGCCCTCTATTTGTATCCTTGCTATGAGACTGCGTCATCTATGAGCATTAGTCACCCAATGAAAGAAACAAGTGATCCGGTCCCCTTCTTCCAATCATAAAAATCTTACCTTTTGGAGCAGCTAATATCCCTTTTTTTTTTTTTTTTGGGTGGTGTGTGCGCCAGAGTTTATTTCAGCTTGTGGATGCGAATTGGGTCATTCCTCTATCTTGCTCTTAGTATCGCATATGCTTGAGATTGACATAAGTGCCTTTGTGTTGCCTAGAACGTGGATCATTCCGTACGTAGAACAGGAACAGGAACAAGAACATGGTATACCTCATGCTATAAAATATGGTACGATAAGGGTAAACTACTATATATTACACTTAGAATTTAAGGTACTTCTAGAGTAATTTTCTTTTAACTATTATGCATTCAATAAAATGTAAAATATATATATTCATGTAGCAAAACATTTCTATGAGCACTATGACCCATTTTTTATGTTTTTGTGCCAAAACTTAACTCTCCATAAAATTTTAATTGTTTTGGAAATATATTGAAAAACACTTTTAGAGTCACTAAATTAATTGTTTTGGAACGAAAGTGTGCCGATATGCAATTCACTAGGGTATTCGCATTTTCTAGTAACATTTAATAAAATTCAACGACCCAAACTTTATGGAAGTGCATGGTTTGCGCAATTTTTAGGTGATTTGGTCAAAGTGTATTGCGAGTATTTGATGAGAAGTTAGAAGACTTTAGGAAGTTATGGATAGAAGTGTTATTTATCTTTTTTTTTGGGTGTCTGTATCTCTTCCTTTTGAGAAGATTCTATTGTTTTTTTATTCAAAAAAATTGAAGGGCTATGTGTGAGATGTAACTTTGGGTTTTTTATCTTCTTGTTGGTGGAATTTTGGTTCTCCCCTATTGTAACATTTTCCTTTTTTATTATTAATAAAATTTTCTTTATTGATGATCCAAAAAAATCTCCTCCAACTTTGCTATTCTAGCAAACTTTTTTTATTAACAAAAAAATACATAATATTTGTTAATTAGATTTTTTTTTTTTAAGCACAAAAATGATGTAAAGGAAGACAAGAATTCCTCCAACAAGTAACAACAACTCCTAATCACAAACCGCTCTCATCACTTTTAATCAAAAACAAGTGTTAAAACCTATCACCTACTTCACCCACTTAAACCTACTCCACTAAACCTAACCCACTACACCACTACCACCTCACCTACTCCACTAAACCTAACCCACTACACCACTACCACCTCCACTTCACCTACTCCACCTACCACCTACTACCACCTACTCTTCTATATATAGGAATCATTGTAACATTCAATACATATCAATCAATATTACATCAATAATACAATTCTCTATTTCTCTTTATACATTCAATTTCAACAACAAGGGAATCCCCTTAAAAGCAAGGAAAAATCGATTTTTATACATATATAGAACTTGTGCTCAGCTTGCTTGGGCTACCTAAGGCCTCTACCCAAGCCCAACTCAAATTTTATTCGGATTGAAAATTTTAGCGAAGGCCCGGTCTTGTGTTTCAATATATATTGCCCAAGTACGAAAATTTTATAGGTTAGGATCGAGTTGCTCAATTAGGACTGCCAAGTTGCACCCCTAGTATGTATCAATAGCGGTTGAAGTTTTTTTTATTTATTTATTGTGAAAAGGTTAGGAGACAAACCTCCGTAAAGGGGTTGTGAGGAGCAAGACCCACTCGAAGGAGTCACTTTTATCCTTAACGACTTTTTGTTTTCTTGTTCATTCAGATTTTGAAGATGGTATGGTACTCTTTAAGACCTTGAACTTTGAGGACAAAGTTCTTTGAAATAGGAATGAATGTTATATACCTATTTAGTTAAGACTCTGTTAGGTATCTAAATAAATTTAATATTTAATTATGATAATGTTGGTTGGTAAGTTTTTAGAGGATATCCCTTGTATGCCTTCGTTTGGCATGTCAGACTTCTTAGCTTTTTGGCTATTTTAGCCACAAAAAGACAAAATAAGTTTTTTAACCCAATAAGACAAAACATCACATCCAAACTATAATCATTTCATTTTTTTCTCTCACAAAAGTCAAAAAAGCCAAAAAGCATATACCAAACGAGATTTTTTAGCCCTAGGTTAAAATAGCCAAAAAGCCAACCCACATCCCAAACATATTATGTAGATGTCACATGGCTTAGTAGAATAAAGATTCCAAGTTTGAAAATTAGGGTTTTTTTCTCAGGAGGTTATGTTTAAAGTGGGGTATTCTCCCTCCCTCTCTTCTTTTGTTTTTTTATTTTATTTTTTCAGAAAGCTACGAAACAAATTTGAATATAAATTATCTTGCAGTTGTCCTACCCAATTCAAAGTATTAACTAAGCGGAAAACAAAAGTTTAAAGAGGTGTCAACCAATAGAAGGATCAAAGTTAATTGGCTTTTAAACACTTGACATGTTTACCGTCTCAGTGGTACTTGGACACATTGTAGTGCCAAGACATCCATTAAAATGAGTATGGCACTTGCTCTTGTTATTTATTTATTTATTATTATTTTATTTTATTTATAAATAACACTTGCTCTTGTTCTTTTTTCAGTAAAGATTTGCTTGTTCAAACAAAAACCAAATATTTACTCCAGCTTCTACAAGAAAAATGTTTGACTATAAAAGGCAAACAAACATAGATGGTGGATTAACAATATCATCCTCTGCAATCCATTAGGCTCAGGATGTTGATATAATAATAAAACAAAGAGCTAATGATTAATTTTGGATTGAATTGATCTTTAAGTACTTACTGAGTATTTATTGGAACCTATCTGTCTCTCAAATACTCGAAAGTAGTACAGCAGATATAGCCCAAACATCATTTCTGGTGTAGATGAAAAGGCAAGAACCGACACAATTGGCTTCCAGAGTTGAAGCTTCTTGAAAATATCCTGTAATAAAGAAAAAAAAATGAAACAGGTACATATGCATCTAAAGTTATACCACACCCTCATTTCTTTAAGCACCACATACTACCCAGAAGATTTCCAAGTTTAGTTTATAGCTTCAACAGATCATTTTTTTTTTTTTGGGGCGGGGGTTAAGTATAACAGCTCATATTTGAAAATGAGAAAGCATGATGAATTCTTCATCTATGTGATTGCACACCTCTACATATGCAAACTTATTGTATGTGGTAAATGAAAACTGCAAGCACAAAAATGCATGGTACCCAATAGAAGCTACCCCAATTCTCTCACACCCGAGGAAAAAGCTACCCCAAACAGGACCTAATTCTTAAAAATTCCTCTCAGAGTAAAAATAAATAAATAAATAACTCATTTGGATTGTCACTTGTTATTAGAATACCTAAGAAGTGCAAATAGTACTCATTTTCGCTCATGCAGATAGCGAGCAAAAAATAATAGAACACATATTTGAACATCTTTTGTCAAGATAAAAATTGCTCAAGACATTCTTTCTTTCTTCAATAGAAAAATAGCTCAAGACATTCCCCATCTTGATCCTATATTCTGTTTTGTGCTTTACGGCCTTCATGGTGGTACTAAAAACTTTATGTCTCTGTTTAATTGGCCAAAAACTTTTTATCTTGAATAGTAAGAAAATTCACCTAATGAAATTCTCAATTATAGACAAGTCAATAAACCTTTCTGACTAAATGGTGGAAGGTCATGGTAGCAACAACATTAGAAAGCCCAACAAAATGAGAGAGATGGGAAGGCTTTAAACAATCTTAAAGATGTGGTGAAACTGCTAAATTCCACAAACTGATCCAGTAACTAGATTCACAGGTTTGCTACTTAAAACAAAATTTTCTAGCATAAAGCACCACAACTGCTTTGGAAACTTTTCTGGGGATGATCATTATACTTCTCAAGACAAATAAATATGCATTGCATCTCTTCATAACTTTAGAGTTGTTCTCTTTTTTACTATGAATGAAGCACTTCCTTGACTAATTTTTCTCTCTTTTTTAAAAACTCCTCATAAACAAAACATAGGGTACAGACCATGAGATTAATATATAGTTGCAGCATATCCTTGTAAGCAGCATCTAACATATCAGCAGGATGTATTGAGTAACTTCATCATAAATGGTTGTCTAATGCCAAAATGATTATTATGGAACCTTGGCATTTAGAGCCCTTTTTGAGCATTCTCGGAGGGTGCTCACATTTATTGATAGTTCACGGTCTTTAAAAAATAAAAATAAAATAAAACATTGCACTCGAGTCATGTAGTAAAGGCTGCTACTCACATATTTTCATAATGGAACTAGGAGAAAAGGATAAACCAACTTGAGATACAATCATAGGGTGGAGTTGGTCACGAACAAAGCTTCAAAGCCTAAAATCTGAAGTGCACATATGTGCCTTGAAAATTCAATGGTGTATCTTGTATTCTTGATCTTTTATACAATTGTGCGGCATACTCTTCTTTGAGTTGCCATAAACTTTTATAAGGTTCCTCCTAAATCCATGCAATGCAACATAGAAACTCCAAAAGCCCCTCAATCTTTTAGGTTATAAAATATTTTCCAATGTTTCTTCGGAAATCCACTGATGTTGGGCCAAGCAATGCAACATAGAAAACCAAGTAGGAAGACTTGGTATGGTCTACCCTAAACCAAAACCACCAGAAAGAACAAAAGTATGTGAACCTCAACCATCAAATCCTCAAAACGGTGCAAGGAAACTCTTAAGAGCTAAAAGATGTTTCAGAAATCTCTGTAACCAGTAAGAAACCAGCAAGATTATACACATGCCATAACAAATTTATCATGAAATAGGATTCAAATTTCCCAGCTTCATTTGCTTTGCAGCAAATCCTGAACCACAGCACTGGAAATCAACTCTAAAAACCATGCACTAAGTTCTTTGCCAGACAATTATCTAAAACATAAATGATTTAAAAGGAACTAATTTCTACTATAGCTATAAAGTCTCACTTTGAGTACTGCTAGTGAGAACCAGGCAACAAATATACCCATAAAGTAACTTTTAGCTATGGGACTCAAAATAAATGGTGTGCATTGAATACTAATGATAACATAAAAGCCACTAGCAGTTACACCTGAAGAGTAGAAATATATCGTAGCAATGATACTTTAAAATGACAACCCACATAAGTTTAAATCAAGTTTAGCCAACACATTAAAGTCTGAAGCACCAAGTAATGGGAAATTACCACCAGAAATGAGAGCAAGAGATTGAGAATAATAAGAAAATTTGGTTCAAATCTACCTCTAGTAAAACCTACTTCTCAGTTACATCTGAAAACCAGTAATCACCAACTACATATCATCTGCAGTATCATAAATCATCAGGATTTCCATCTTAATTAAGCAAAAACACAAAACCCATATGCAATTACATTAAGGGCAACACGCCATTAATCAACATACACAAAACAAGAGTCAAACTTGTGATAATCTACACACTGAAAATGAAAAATACTGAAAACCCAATTCGAATTTGCAAATGCCTGATACGATAAACGATTTGCAAGCAACAATACATCAAAATCTACATGGAAAAACCCAAAAGGGACAAGTGGGTAACAGAGAAACAACAAAAGAAAGAGAACCCAGATAGGGAAAACACCTGATACGATAAACCCAGTTTACTTGAACGACCTTGGATCCCAAAGATGATGGTGAAGAGGGCACACGCAATAACGAATGTTCTTGTGACTGGAGCATTATCTGTGACAAAAACAATAAGAAGAAGACATAGTTAGAGAGAATTGAGAGTATGTATTGGAAATTAAACAAATGATTTTTGAATTTTTGGATGAAATACGTACTGAAACCAGATGGGCCGCCGTTCATCTTCGCAGTGAACCAACGACCTTCTTCTCCTTCTAGACTTCGGTTTGGTTTGCTCTTTCTGTCTCTGCCCTTTTCTTCGGTTTTCTCTTTTTTATTATTTATTTATTTGTTTGTGTTTCTCTGGGCTCTCGTCTTTCTCTATCGATAAGTTATTCGTTGTCTTGGCACACCGCTCTGTGGTGTGTCAATAGTGTTATAATTGTTAAGGGTAATATTTGAGGTATCAAATTTTTTTTATTAAATAAATAATTAAATGTCTCATATGAATATATGATTTATAATTTTGTAGATTCATATTTATGTAAAATATTTAGTTATTTTTTTAATAAAAAATTTAAAATCTATAATATTTTTTAATTGACAATTATAAATTTATATTGATTAATTAAGAATATAAAATAATATAATAAATTGTGATTAAGGTGTATAATAAAATTTATAATTTTGCCCGAAGTCTTGTTACTCAACTCAAGCCCATCTAGCTCGTGCTTGTATTATGGGTGGGGATGTCCGACCCGACTGAGGATTATATTGGGCGCGGGTCTATAGTTTGAAGCTTGGACTAACTAGTGTGTCCAACGTGTTAGTTCACCCACCAATAAGGCATGTTGGCTTGTGAGAGAACATCAACTCAATCGAATTCAAAAATGCTAGAGGTCCTAAAAATTCTATCAAAAGTTTTACCAAATGTCTCACATGAGTGTGGGACCCACATGGGACCCACATTGTGTGGGTCCCACACCCATGTAAGACATTTGATAAAACTTTTGATAGAATATTTGGGATCTCTAGCATTACTCAATCGAATTACTTTACGAGTCTGATAAAAAAATGTAATAAAACAAGGTTTAAATATCAATTTGATAGGCTGAGCTTGTGACCGACCTACGAGACCATTTATTTGGGTTCGGGACTCGGGTTGTGGCGAGCGAGCTAGGCCAACTCGAGCCTAAAATATAAAAGTCACCTGCGGATTAATTTTTAATGTAAGGAATAAAAGATACAAGGGGATAAATAATACAAAATATTAGGAATAATAATTAATAAATGACAAGATTTCAAATATACAATACATAAAATAAATAAATAAATAATGAAAATATAATTGGAGTGAGAAGGATAAAGCAATGCAGGTTACCAAAATCTATTGAAAATGTTAAGAATTTTAAATATTTTATCAAATATTTGAATAATGATTAAGACTCCTTTTCCCCTACTCCCTTTGACTCCCTCTCTTTCTTGATCGGCCAATTTTTATTTATTTTTTTATTTTTTTTCTTTTTCCTCCAATCACCACCCGCCACATGAGTGTGCGGGTGGTGGGGGTTGATGATTAAGAGGGTCTCAATCACAACCGATTCTATTAAATATCTTATATGTGTGTAGGCCTGCACTATGTGAGTTACATGTGGATCTCACACTCATGTGAGATATTTGATACTAAATTTTGATACAATATTTAGAATCCCTAATATTATTCAAATCTATTATTGTTCTTGCTTCTTCATTGGTGCCAAAGAACATTAAAAGGAAAAAATTTGCAGAGATGAGATATGTGAGAGTAGGGTGCGACGAGGATAAATTGTTATCTGAAATTATGTGACATTTAGTTTTTTAGTGGTGTTACGTCTCTTAATATATCACTATCATTTTAACTTTTATGAATATCTCTACTAATTTGGCATTAGAGCTATTATTGCTATATTCAGCAGCTAAAGATGAAAAGTGTGCTCTAATGGTTGGTTATGGCAGCTACTATAACTGCCAAATCATTATGAAAAAGCTCCTTCTCTCCCTCCTACTCGCTTGCCATTTTGGCAAAACTAAACACAGAAAACAAGTTTTTGTGTTTGGTTATGTTAAAATGACATATGACCATTGGAGTACTATTACTATAATTTTATCATTTACTATTATTTATTGTCAAATTATAGTAATGGCAATACTACCATACTATTTTCCATTAGAGATGCTCTAACAAGGTAAAAGAGAGAAAGAAAGAGAACAATAATGAAAGGTGTGGATTTCCCTTCAATGGTCAATTCCATGTCATTATAGGTAAATTGTGAATGCTTAATTAGAACAAAAATGCCTGGGAGCACTAAAAAGAGAGCATTAGGGGAGCACTAATGAGTTGGCTCTCTTGCGATGTGATGAGTGTCTTCGTTTTTTTTTTTTTTTTTTTTTTTACATTTCCAGCTCGTTAAAGTTATTAGTGCACTGTTTTTTAGAGCTCCCAATCAGGTCTATAATTAGAATTCAAAGCATTTTTCTTATTTTTTGAGGTTATGCTAATACACATCTTCAAAATAGTATGTACTATATATAAGTTGTGATATTAATGATACTGATTATAACGAATGTCATAATTAAATAATTTTAAATCATAACTAAAAAAATAGAGTAATATTATACAAATATATATATATATAACTTTCATATATAATGATGTGACTCATAATAAAATTTTAATTTATAAACAAAATATTATTAAAAATAAAATTATTAATAATAATAACAATATCATATAATTATTATAAATTTTATGTATACATATAATTTTTGTTTGACACAGTGGGTGTTTGGAAAATTGCTATTTTAGTAGGCTATTTTAATTTTTGACTATTTGACTAGGCTAAATTTTTGAATAATGTTTGAGGGCCCGAAATTAGTGGCTCGAATTTGGCTCAAAACCCAAAACGACGTCGGTTTGGGTTTTGAATTTTTTTTTTTCTTCTTCTTCCTTCCTCTTCTTTCTTTTCTTCTTCTTCTTCTTCGTTTTGAACCTGAGAAGCAGAGGCGAGAGAGAGAAACAGAGGGGAGAGGTGGGAGCTCGTCGTCGGTCGTCGGCCAATCGTCGCAGCTCGTCGGTCGTCGGCCGATCGTCGCCTCTGCCTCCGCCCGCCTCCGCCTCTGCCTCTGCCTCCGCCCGCCTCCACCTTCACCTCCGCCTCCAACCCTATTTTTAGGGCCCCCTCCAGTTCTGCTTCCCCTTCTCTTCTTCTTCTTCCTCCTTCTTCTCAAATTCGAGCCAAATTTGGCTCGAAACCTTTTCGGGCTCTGTAGCAGAGTTGTAAATTTTTTGTGTTTGGAAAGATTGTTAGATTTTTTTTATAATTTGATGTGATGTTTGTAAGAGAAAAAGTAAAATGATTATAATTTGATGTGATATTTTATTTTATTAATTATTTTAACTTATTTTATTATTTTGTAAATTTTAACCCAAAAAATAAAAAAATAACATTTACCAAACATTCCATAATACAATTCAAAAAATGATTGAGAATACTAAAAAAAGAATACTCCCTCCGTCTCAAAATATTAGTCCCTTATTTCATTTTTTATTATCCCAAAATATTAGTCCCTCTTTATAAATCAAGTACAAAAATAATGTAAATTTCCTATTTTGCCCTTCTTTTAAATTAATAAACAATTTAAAAAGTACAATTATGACATTGATATTCCCAAAAAATGTACTATCAAAAGGGTAATTTTGGAAAATCAATTTTTTTCAAATGCAATAAGTGTACTACAAAAAAAAGTTAAATTCTCCAAAAGGGACCAATATTTTAAGACGGAGGGAGTACTAGAGAGAGCACTAATGAACTGACTCCCCATGATGTGATGAGTGTCCCTTCTGTTGTTATTGTTGTTGTTTTTATTTTTGTATATTTTTTTTTACATTTCTAATTCATTAGAGTTATCAGTATTCTGTTTTTTTAAAACACCAAATCAGCTCTAATAATATAAAGGGCATAACCACACACGAGCGTGACGTGTTTAATTCCATTCCAAAGCGTTACCATTCTCTATTTGCTTTGTTCGACACTGTTTAATAATTTTTGGCCGTACCAACCAGACGAGTCCCAAAATTTTTACCAAAACGACGATCTCATTGCGTTAGATCTGAAAAAGCGAGAGCGAGCAAGCGACCTTCTTTAGAGTCGAAGCAAACCATTCACCAACCAACGAACCCTAAACAAACCAACAAACCAACAAACAAACTCAACCAGATCAATTCAATATCTCTCTCTCTGTAATCAAATCACAAAGGTATGCACTCTCAGTTTCCGAAAAATGCTTGTGTTTTGGTTGTTTTTGTTTTTGTGTTTTGCATTTGCTATTGAATTTGTGTTTTCATGAATTATTATTATTATTATTATTATTGTGTGTGAATTGCAGTGTTATTTGATATAATTATTGATTCCTAATTTTGTAGAGGGGACGATCTAATGGTGGTTGACTGCTGATATATATTCGAATTCACGGTGGGGAGCAAAAACGCTGCAGATCGGATGGACAAGAATAAGAACCGTACCGATCTGCTTGCTGCTGGCCGTAAAAAGGTATGCTTTATGTTGTTTTTTATGCATTGGACTCAATTTCCAGCTTTTTTAGAAGTGTTTGGGTTGTTTGGTTGCTGAGAAAATGTTGTGATAGAAATGAAACTGGAAGTTTCAAACTTGGGGTTTTGTTGTTATTCATTAAACTAGAAAACAGGAAGTCTCAGTCAATGGAGCTTCAGACAGTGGGTTTAGCTGAGAGCTTATGACTTTGTTCCCTTTTTTCTTTCTTTTTTTTTTTCTTTTTTTCTTTTTAATTTTAATTTTTTTTATTCCCTTCTTGTTATCATTGAATTTGCTGCCAAACTAACAAGGGGTTGTTGGGTTTTCATTTTGAACTATTGGATGCCTTTGAAGATGCTCTGAAATGAATTCATGTTTGGATGCTAGGAACTGAGATGTTTGCTGCAGTTTGTAATAATGAGTTCTTCTAAATTGTTTGCTGAAAATAGAGGGAAGTTTTGGGAACACATTTGGCGTTGGCATAGGCCTTTGAGGGAAATATTTTCATACCTTTGAGAATTGCTATGAAGAGAAAATGCAATTTCATCAACAGTTGCTTGATGGGGAAGAAATTGGTAGTGGATAATGGTAGTGCGGCTTCCCCTTCGGTATTTAAGGGGGCTGTGCAAGATTGGGAGGTAAGTTTAATTGCAAATCTGCTTGGGTTGCTTTCTAGATGTTCTATTCAGGCTGGGGAAGAAGATTTATTGGTTTGGACCGGAGAGATACCTCGAATGAATGAATGTTGTCTCTCTCCCTCACCCTATCCATGCTCACCATGTTTCTCTGCTCTTGTTTTTTTATCTACCTTCATCTTTATCTCTGTTGTTTTGTTGAGAGGCTCAAAATTTTATGCCCCTGCCCCACTCTTCTCTCTTCATCTCATTTTTCTCCGAACCTTCTCGAGTGGGAGATTGGGATGATGTGATATGTCCTTTGTTTCCCGCACTCTCTCATTTCTTTCTTTCTATAATATATTATGTAAAATGAATTCAATATATATGATTCACCCATTACCCAAAATGTGCGAAGAGATACATATGAGAGCCAAGTTACACAACTTCGTTGATGTCGTCTTCTAGGAGTAAATTACTTATTAAGCAAAATAGTTTAATTAGGCTTTGAGAGAAGACAAAATCAACAAAACTGTGTAAAGTGATAAATGTGTGTGTGTGTGTGTGTGTGAGAGAGAGAGAGAGAGTAGGATTTGGGTATAGACCTGGGGTGGTTTGTCAAAACTGATAATTAAATACCAAAATTTTTAGTACTGCATTTCTAATGTTAAAATTTTAAAAATATGAGAATGAAAATGAAAAAAATGCTTTTAGAGCATTTTTGGCATTGATTGATGAATCAAATCTCTTTGATTAGACATTAAGATCCGTTTTGAGTCAATTTAAAGAATTAAGTAATAGATGATGTTGTGCTATCAAATGCAATTAATTATTATGAATCAATAAACGTGTTCAATTTTTATTACTTAATTATGTTATGATAAAAGGTTTTAGGGTGTACTTCTATACTCAATATTAAAATACATAATTCCTCAGCAATTAAGCTGAGGGTAATGGGGAGTTTAGTTTTGACCTTTTATTCATCCTTTGTCAGCTTCAACAATATCGGCAGAAGAAGGATACTAAGGGCAGTAAATCAGCAGGTAAAGCTGGTAAGTCCGAGTGTGATAGCGATGCTGATGCGGCATCTACTGCTGCTAAACTGGCAGTGGTATTGCTACAAGATCCTGATGGGGAAGTCAGTTCATTGCATGATTCTGATTCTGGGATTGTTGATTCATCAATCACATGTCCTAGTGAGAATTCACAGGCTACTGACAACATTGATATTGCCACTAATGATCCTTTGTCAGTGGTGGTTATACCTGAGACAGGCACAGACACAACGACGTTGGCAAGCTGTGTTGAGTTGCCGCATGAGGACTTTGGAGTTTATGAATCTACAATGAAGTTGAGTGTTGGCAAGGAACAAGATTTTGACCCTTTGGTTCCATATAAAGTTGAAAGTACCCACACTGTAAATGCCGAGGGTGCAAGGCTTACTTCTACAGGAAATTTGGAAAGTGTAGTTTCTGAAATGAATTCTGTACATTTGGCTACCACTAAACCTGTTGATTCCTCCACACAACCTGATTTAGTTGGTACGACTAAACCTGTTGCCATTGCGGTTGAAGCAGAGTGTATTCATGGAGCAGATCAGGTAACAGACATAGGTTGTGCCCGCTTACCTGTGATACCTCTTTTTTTTGCATGTATATATTTTTCTTTTTTATTATTGAATTAATTTGTGATTGAAATTAGTTATGTCTGAATCCAATGTATAATTAAAATTCATTTGTTTCTGGGTAGGGGCAATTCAGGGAGCTGACTGTTTGGATTCAGAGCAAGTTAATAGAAGCAGTGGGATAGGGCTTGAAGGAGATGTGAGGCCTGATTTACCCGGGTTCAGTGAAAGTGCTGAAACTTGTGCAGGGACGGTTTCAGGGGAGCCCAGCCCACAGCCCACTATTGAAGTGGATCAAACCGATGAGTTGAATGATGCTTCTGCTTCTGCTTCTGCTGGTGCAACCAATGAGGTAAAAGAAGTTTGGACTATAGGTGGTCATTCAGTTTCAGCTCAGCCATTCTCCGATTTACATGTATCCTCAACTGTAAATCCTGAAGTAGCAGTTCATCAGAGAGAAGATGCAGTGGCAACTTCCTTGAATGAAGAAAAATCAGAAATGCAATTTCATCAACAGTTGCTTGATGAAATGTCCATTGCCAGCACTTTGGTTGGTGAAGTTCAAGGGAGGAATGAAAGCCTTGCTGAAGATCTTGCAAAGTGCAAGTCTGAACTTCAGGCAGCTGTTTGTGCAAAGGAGGAGCTTGAGAAGCAAGTTCATACTGCAAAGGCCGAGGTTGTGGAAATATCTTCCAGAGCTGATGAGTTGCATGTTGAATTGGAAAGGTCACATGGGGAATTGTCAAGCCTGTCAGCGGAGTTGGCTGAATGTAAGCCATTGGTGGCAGCTTTACAGGTTGAAAATGATAAGTTGAATGGGAGTCTTACTTTGGCAGTTGAGGAGAAAAAGAAACTTGCGGAGGAGAAGGGATATTTGGTACTTGAGAATGATAAACTGTTGACAGAATTAGCTGACTTCAAATTTTCATTATCATCATTACAATCAGAAAATGTCAACTTAAGTGGCACTCTGGCATTGACAACAGAGGAGAGAAGGAAGCTTGAGGAGGTAAAAGAGAATTTTCTGCATGAGAATCAGAAACTATTGAACGACTTAGCAGAGTGCAAAGCTTTGTTGGAAACGCTTGAGGTGGACAATGCCCAGTTAAATGGGAGTCTCACTTCCGTAACGGAGGAGCGAAATAAGCTTGGAGAAGAGAAGGATCATTTTGTCACTGAGAATGAGAAACTGTCAGTGGAGTTTGCTGACTGCAAGAGTTTAATGGCAGGTCTACAGGTGGAACACCTCAAAGCTTTGGATGACCTAAAAGAAGCAACTTTGCATCTTGAAAAACTCACTGAGGAAAATATCAAGTTGTCATCTCGATCTGGGGAAGCTGCAAATCAAGTTGAAGGTTCTGACATGCCAAGCAGGGGACCAGAATGTGCAACTGCTGCTGATGAGACTCACTGGCTTCCCAGGGAGGGGGAGGCTGAACTATTCTCTCCTCGGTTAAGAAAATCTGATGATGGCCTTGTGGATGGGTCACCAGTTGAGCAGCTTAAATTGGATGTCTATGATCATTCTTGTGGGTTTGTAGATTTGAAGGGACACTTAGAGGAGGCAGAGAAAATAGTTCAGAAACTTGAGAAAGCAATTGAAGGGATGCACTCTCATTCTGTGTCCTTAAGCAAGTCAAGTGGCAAAACGGCACCAGGGATATCAAAACTGATTCAAGCTTTTGAGTCAAAGACTCATCATGATGACCATGACATAGAGGAAGTTTCTTCAGCTGAAAATCAATCACTTGTGGACACATTTATGTTAGCAAAGGAGCAAACAAGAAGTCTGAGAGCAGTGCTTAAGGAGTTGCTTCTGGATGCTGTGAATGCCAGCGAACTGTTCAAGGGGGAGAGAGATTGTAGGTATCTTGCTGATGATGCACTTGGGGAGCTCAAGGTTGCTTATGAAGCTCTGAAGGAACACAATATCAGTTCTGAAGCAGCAAATATCGAAGTCATTATTTTATATGAGTTTGTAAAGCAACATGTGTGTGATATTGAAGCAAAGAAGGGTGAGCTTCTGGGTCTGTATGAAGCAGTAAGGCAACACAGTACTATTCTTGGAGCAGAGAACAGTGAGCTTGTTAAAAAGCTTGGTGACTATCAGCCACGTATTAGTGTATTGGAGAGACAGTTGGATGAAATGCACTCAAGTTCAGATGAGATGGCTTCCTCTATCTCTAATCAAGTGGAAGTTCTGCATAAAGAAGTAGCTGAGAGGGCATCAATACTTGAGCAAGAATGGAATTCTACTGTTGCTCAGGTTGTTCAGACAGTCGAGAAGCTTGATGCATTGATCAGGAGCTTGTTTTCCTCCACACCCTCTGGCAATCATGATTGCCTAGATATAGGTAGCCGTGTGGCTGCTTCTGTTGATGCTGCAACCAAAGTGATTGACAATCTGCAGGAAAAATTAGAAGCTTCTGGCAAAGATCACACAGCAATGTGCAGTTCATACAAGGACATGATTGAAAAGTTCAATGATTTGCATAGAAAGAATGAATTGGCTATTGGTGTATTACATGGGGTCCATGGTAACCTTGAGAGGCTTGTAAATGATTCATGTGAGCATGTAGAACAAAGCCAGATCATTAAACAAAATGAGAACCTTATAGATCCTCTACATCTTGATAACTATGATACCCTCATGGAGCAACTGGCAGTGCTTCTGGGTGAGAGGCTGCAATTCAAATCTATGAACGATAAACTGAACTTGGAGTTGATTGATATGGCAAAAGAAATGGAGAAACTGAAGAAAAGAGGCCTTGATTCAGATACCATTCTAAAGCTGGTTGAAGATGTTGAAGGTGCCGTTAAGCTGAATGGAACTGGCATTGACTCAGATAAGCTTGAATCACGCTTACAGCGTCTTATATCTTTTCTGTTTCAAAAATACAAAGAGGCTGATGAGCAGGTCAGCTTGTCCAGTAAGGAAATGGAATTAAGTGAATTGCAGGGACAAATAGAGCACTTGAGCTTTTTGATTGTTCAACATGATAATGAAACCCTCATTCTTAAGGAAAGTTTGAGGCAGGGAGTGGAGGACCTTGTTGCTGTTCGGGCTGAGTTACAGGAGAAAGTAAACGAGCTTGAACAGTCAGACCAGCGGGTATCTTCTATCAGAGAAAAACTCAGCATAGCTGTTTCAAAGGGAAAAGGTTTGATTGTGCAGCGTGACAATCTCAAGCAATCTCTAGCAGAAACATCCAGTGAACTGGAGAAATGCTCTCAGGAGTTACAGTTGAAAGATGCCAGACTTTGGGAGGTTGAAACAAAACTTAAGACCTATTCAGAGGCTGGTGAGCGTGTGGAAGCTCTGGAATCTGAACTCTCATACATTCGCAACTCGGCTACTGCATTAAGAGAATCATTTCTTCTCAAAGATTCTATACTCCAGAGAATAGAAGAGATTCTAGAAGATCTAGAGCTGCCAGAGCACTTCCATGCCAGAGATATAATTGAAAAGGTTGATTGGTTAGCGCGGTCAGTTACTGGGAACTCTGTGCCTCCTGCTGATTGGGATCAGAAAAGTTCTGTTGGGGGAGGATCATATTCTGATGCTGGTTTTGTAGCTATGGAAACCTGGAAGGAAGACACACAGCCAAACTCAAATTCAGGTGATGATTTGAGAGGAAAATATGAGGAGCTTCAAAGTAAGTTCTATGGCTTGGCTGAACAAAATGAGATGCTGGAACAATCTTTGATGGAAAGAAACAATGTTGTGCAACGGTGGGAAGAGACATTGGAGAGGATAAATATGCCTTTGCAGTTGCGCTCCATGGAGCCAGAGGATAGGATTGAGTGGTTGGGAAGTGCGCTTTCAGAGGCTCATCACCACTGTAATTCTCTCCAGCAGAAGGTTAATAACTTGGAAACGTATTGTTCCTCATTAACTGCTGATGTGGAAGAGTCACAAAAGAGATTATATGATCTTGAGACAGCTCTCCAAGCCGTTCTTCATGAGAAAGAGCATCTCTCTGATAGTTTGGGGATTCTAACTCGTGATTATGATAAGGTCTCAGAGAAGTTAGTCCGATTTGAACTTGAGAATGATAAGCTGGAGAATGAGATATCTGCTTTGCAAGAGAAATTGGTTGAAAAAGAGCATCTCTCTGGTAGTTTGGAGATTCTAACTCGTGATTATGATGAGGTGTCAGAGAAGGCAGTCCATTTTGAACTTAAGAATGATAAGTTGCAGAAGGAGGTATCTGCTTTGCAAGAGAAATTGGTTGAAAAAGAGCATCTCTCTGATAGTTTGGAGATTCTAACTCGTGATTTTGATAAGGTCTCAGAGAAGGTAGTCCAATTTGAACTTGAGAATGATAAACTGCAGGAGGAGGTATCTGCTTTGCAAGAGAAATTGGTTGAGAAAGTCAGAAATCAGGAGCATATTGAAGATGAGATAAGAAGATTGGAGGATTTGGTGCATGATTTGCTCAAGGATTCTGTTACAGAGGACGTGGTTTCTGGTGGCAGTAGTACCGAGTGTTTGGAACAACTACTGAAGAAGCTGTCAGAGAAGTACACAGCCCTTGCTTTAGAGAAACCTATTCTTGTTGACTCAGCTGATGAGAAAAATACAAAAAATGCTGGTGCCATTCAGGATGAAAAGAGAGATTCTGAGGATTCAAAGGAGGATGTGGCAGTTCTTAAGAAAGAACTGGAGGAGGCTTTGCAGGATTTGCTGTGCGTGAAGGAGGAGAGAGATAGATATATGGAGAGCAATCAATCTTTGGTCCATGAAGTTGAAGCATTAGATGTAAAATGGAAAGAATTGCAAGAGTTACTTAGTCAGGAGGAGCAGAAGTCAATTTCTGTTAGAGAGAAGTTAAATGTCGCAGTTAGAAAAGGAAAATCATTGGTCCAACAGCGTGATAGTTTGAAACAGACCATTGAAGAAGTGAACAATGAGGTGGAACGCCTGAAATCTGAGGTTAACTACCGGGAAAGCAGACTTTCAGATTATGAACAGAACATAAAGGACTTATCCACCTACCAGGAAAGGCTAGAAGTCCAGGAATCAGAGAGTTTGTTCATGAGAAATCGGTTGGCAGATACTGAGTACTTTTTGCAAGAGAAAACCAATACTCTGAGCTTGATTTTGAATACTTTGAATGACATTGGTGCTGGTTTTGAATTTAATATCAGTGATCCTGTTGAGAAGTTGGAACAAATTGGGAAACAATGCCGTGATCTACATGCCGCTGTGGCTTCTTCTGAACATGATTCGATGAAATCTAGAAGAGCGGCTGAGCTACTCCTGGCAGAGTTGAATGAAGTCCAAGAAAGAAATGATGGACTGCAAGAGGAGCTTTCAATGGCTGCCAGTGAGCTTTCAGAACTCTCCAAGGAAAGAGATTTGGCTGAAGCTGCCAAACGTGAAGCTTTTTCGCAAGTTGAAAAGTTGTCTGCTGTTCGTTCTGTAGAAAGAAATAACCAACTTGCTGAGCTGAAGCTGTTAAAATCCTGTGTTGATCAACTGAGAAAGGGCTTCGTTGATATTAATGATCTTCTTGGTGACGTCCTCTCCAAGGACTTGGAATATCTGCACAATCTGGAGGCAAGTATGATGTCATGTCTGGAACCAAGTGAGGCTATGAATGTGGTTGGCCTACCTCTTGGTGGTCCTGTGAGCATTATTTCTGCTAATGCGGAAAACAAGGTACCATTATTTTTGTTCTTAATATTGTGAAATATTGATGTAATGTAATGTCCATCTTCAGTTGCTCTCAAGTTGTTGGCCACACCCTCCCTGCTTATAGATACAAGATACTTGATCCAAATTCTTTCCTATGTTTTGCCACATGTTCTGACATGAATTCTTTAGTTAATTTTGTTTTCTGTCTATTTTCTTGCAATATATTTGTATTTTTTGTTTTGCCTTTTGGGAACATTCTTAGCGTACTTTTATTTATTTATTTTAAAAATAATTACAGTTTCTATTTATATTTCATTGTATTCTTTTTTTTTCTTTTTTTCTTTTTAAATATATTTTAAGTGGGCCATTACTTTCAATACTTGTTCATACCTTCCAAACATATTTTTCCCCCTTTATGTTGCTGCACAAAATACTTATCATCCCCCCCATTCTTCTAATACTCATCTTCCTGTCCAGGAGAAGTTCTTGGCTACAAATTCATTATTGGAATCGAAGATGCAAGAGTGTACCGATGACAATATTTTTGTTGACATTTGTAGTCTTCTTGGGCATCAATTGCAAGATTTCATGAAAGAAATCGGTGCTCTTAAAGAAGAATTATACAAACACTTGATTACATTAGATGAAGGAGCTAAGCATGCATCTGAAGTAGCGGGTATTATTCATAGAGAAGTGACTTCCCAAAAACAGTCCTTTGAATCCATGAGGGAGAACATAATCCGATTAGAGGTCATGGAGAAAGAGAAAGATACTGAAAGTGTTGTAATGCGTAGAAACATTTCGTTGCTTTATGAAGCCTGCAGTAGTTCAGTTATGGAAATTGAGAATTGCAAAGCCCAGTTTGTTGGAAATGGTTTGGCTGCCACAGATCTGGGGATGAACTTGGAATCTTCAATTTCTGGTGATGAAGGAACTCTTTTTAGCCAACAGACTCATTTGTCATCTGATGAACGGATTAGGATAATGGCAGATAGATTGTTGTCAGTTGTCAAGGACTTCATGTGTATTCAAGCCCAGGTTGTAGAAGGTGGCCAAAAGGAAATGAAGACTACCATTTCAAATTTGCAGAAAGAGCTCCAGGAGAAGGACATCCAAAAAGACAGAATTTGTGTGGAGCTTGTCAGTCAGATCAAGAAAGCTGAAGCTGCTGCAAGGAGTCACTTGCAAGACTTTCAATCTGCAAAGGCTCGGCTAAATGATTTAGAGAGGCAGCTGGAAGTGACGGAGGAAGAGTAACATGTTGGAACATAGAGTGAAAGAACTAGAAAATGGCGAAGCTACCTTGAAAGACTCGGAGGAGAGAGTTAGATCACTGGGTGATGCGCTGGCTGCGAAAGAACAAGGTCAGTTCTGTTATTTTTAATCTGGCTGTTTTTATTTGTTACAAATTAAATACGTTGTCCACAGAATTATTTCTTAACTTCAATTTATAATTCTGAAACAGAAATTGAGGTGCTGATGCAAGCACTTGATGAGGAGGAGACCCAGATGGAAGACCTAAGAAACAAAATTGGGGAATTGGAAAGAGTTGTGCAAGAAAAAAATGTAGATTTGGAAAACCTAGAAGCCTCTCGTGGAAAGGCTATGAAAAAACTTTCGATTACTGTGAGCAAGTTTGATGAACTTCATCAACTGTCTGCTAGCCTCCTTTCTGAGGTTGAGAAGCTTCAGTCACAGTTACAAGAACGGGATGCAGAGATCTCTTTCTTAAGGCAAGAAGTCACACGATGCACCAATGATGCTCTAGTTGCATCCCAGATGAGCAACAAAAGAAATTCAGATGAGATCCTTGATTTATTGACATGGTTGGACACAATGATTTCTGGGGTGCTGGTAAATGATGTGCATTTTGATGACAAGAAAAGGGATAAAGTTCATGAATACAGAGAGATATTTCAGAAGCAGATCGTGTCACTGGTATCTGAAATGGAGGATCTAAGGGCGGTGGTACAGAGCAAAGATACAATGTTGCAAGTAGAGAAGAGTAGAGTAGAAGAGTTAACACGTAAAGAAGAATCTCTTGAGAATTCCTTACGTGAGAAGGAGTCACAATTAACCAGGCTTCAGGGAGTGGGAGATTCTGGACATACAGGAAGTACAGCTTCTGAAATACTGGAAGTTGAACCACTGGTATGTCATGTTATATTTTTCTTTATTTTCTCAACCTTGAATGGTAGCCTCATTTTTTGATATTTGTTAGTAAATTCAAATATGGTTAACTGGATAGTTATTAACATGCATCAAAGTTTATGTCCTTTAAGATTCAAATTTGCTGTTACATTTTCCTCTGTCGTCTTACAATTTATACTCCTTTAAATTTTTTCACATGTTAGATCTAATCAGATTTGTTTAAAAGTGATATTCACGATTACCAAGGAACAAAATTCAATTCACTTACATTAAAATGGCCGAAATGTCTTCGTTTCCTAGGAAACGAATTATGAAATATTAGTGGAAACAAATGGAAATTTTGCTACTTCGTGGATACCCATAAGTAATCCTTCACCGCCGTCCAGACCGAAAAATAATTTTGACAAACTTGTTCAAAAGTCGAATTATAAATTCAGGTTGTTGGCCTGACATGTTTTGCATCTTCTAGTTTTACAATCGTATCTACTTATTGCAATGTTGTATTTGGAGCAACTGCATTCTCATGGTGCTTCATTCTGGTGGATGTTTGATGCACAGGTAAACAAGTGGGCAGTACCAGGGACCTCCATGACGCCTCAAGTTCGCAGTTTGCGCAAGGTCAACAACGATCAAGTTTCTATTGCTATAGATACGGACCATGGTAATGGTGGTAGATTAGAGGAGGAAGATGATGATAAAGGTAATGTTATACTTCCTGTTACATGTATGTATGTGGCCCTTTTTATTACTACTGGGGAATCCCATGTGCTAGGCATCTGTGGTTTAACCATGTGGATGGAGTATTGTAAGAAATAATGGGCAGTACCAGGGACCTCCATGACGCCTCAAGTTCGCAGTTTGCGCAAGGTCAACAACGATCAAGTTTCTATTGCTATAGATACGGACCATGGTAATGGTGGTAGATTAGAGGAGGAAGATGATGATAAAGGTAATGTTATACTTCCTGTTACATGTATGTATGAGGCCCTTTTTATTACTACTGGGGAATCCCATGTGCTAGGCATCTGTGGTTTAACCATGTGGATGGAGTATTAAAGTTGGGTTTTAGGAATTAATTGCAAAAGTTCTACTATGGGTCAAATATGAAAGAAAAGATAAAGAAGTCCAATTTAAACTTAATTGACAGCAGAAAGTAAGAGTATACTGTATGTGATGTAGTTTTCGAGCAATTTGTTTGGTTGAGTTTTCAAAATCTTTTTTTTCTTTTTTTGAATTTTTTTTCAAAAACTAGTTTGGTGAAAAAAAAATGAAAAAATAAAAAGCACTCTTTATTTTCATATGGTTCTCTTTTTTGGGGCTGAAATAGTTTTAGAAAATTCAAAAAGATTTTTGGTGTTTATTTGTCAAACTAGTTTCTAATTTTCCAAAAAAAATAAAAGAGATAAGAAAAAAGAAAAAAGAAAAAATAGGCATAACAAAAAACTTGTAAGTTGTAACCATAACATTTGTATTGGTTGCAAAAATAGGCGTAACACAACACTTGTAACTGTAGAATAAAATCTGCGGTATTGGTGATATATTCATCGATGTGTATAGATAGAATGGATAAATATGTTTGAAATAGAAGAAGATGAGGTCGAGAAGAATTCTACAGCTGGGGGTAAAGACCTTCAATGAGGTCAGTGACCGGAAAAAGGTTTTGGTGACAGATTGGTGGTGTAGGATTTAGAGAACTCTATTGCTCCTAGGTTTTGAGGCTTTTGGCTTGTTGGTAAGATGATCAAGGCTTCAAACCTGGAGGATTCCTTGTAATGATGAGATCTATTCCCTACGTTCATCTCAAGGATAGGATTTCTATGGGGAGCAAAACCCAGTCCCTCACTCTTTTATCTTTTGAGGCGATTTCTTATGGGCTTGTACTATTCTTTTTTCCATAAATGTATTTTGTTTTATTTGTTGTTAGCCGAATAGCTGATAAGATTTAAAATATATAATTTTTTTTTCCATTTCAGCGCATGGTTTCAAGTCACTCACTACATCGAGAATAGTGCCAAGATTCACGAGACCTGTAACCGACATGATTGATGGTCTATGGTATAAGCTTTATCTGTTTCTTTCTTTGTTCTATTTTCATTGGGGTTTTTGCTTAATCTCATGAAGAAAAAATCATTTTGTGTATGGAATCTTCCAGGGTTTCTTGTGATCGGGCGCTAATGCGACAACCTGCTTTACGACTTGGTGTCATCATCTATTGGGCTCTTATACATGCCCTTCTTGCAACTTTTGTAGTTTGAGAAGAGTTTTACTGGTTAGTGATCTCTCTCTCTCTCTCTCTCTCTCTCTCTCTCTCAATTATTTGCTTATTTATTTAGTTGTGATGTTCACTGTTGTTACAATTTATTTGGTTGGATGGCATTCATGTCAAAAGTTGTTATTCATGGTATTGCAGTTAGTAATTTTAATTAATTGTTCATTATTAGTTCCACATTGCTTGCGGTGTATGCTTGTGTAAAATAATACAAAAATAGCTTGAGCACTTTGACAAATTTCATGGTAGTACAAAATCTGGAGTTGAAATAATGTTTAATGAATATAAATGATTTCACCCCTACCCAAAAATATATATATATACATATATAAATTTTTTCTCAGGTAAAGAATAGACAAATCTGCTTCTGATAGTTTACCCACAAAACGAATAGACAAATCTGGAATAAAAATGAAAAGACACCAACAGTAGGCTACGCTGCAAACTTTCCACCAGCACTTGACTATTGATGCGTAAATGTTATCTTAGAATTTATTTTGCATTGCATTTGAAGTTCGAGCAATTTTATACTCAATTGGCCAGTTTGTGGGAGGAATTAAAGCTCTTTTAATTATAAATTTTCATTGGAATAAGAAAAAAAAGTATACACAATCAAGTACTTTGTTCTTAATGCAGAAGTATTTTATGGTGTTGATGATTGAGTTGTTGAAGGTTCTGATTTGGTTTGCAGCAAGATGAGCATGGGTCACGGGCACGTTCCAGTGGCATCAATCAAGCTTTCTTTGTATAATCGTGAATTGTTCTCTTCTAGATTTAGATGTAGTCAGATTAATTTGTTATTCAGCTCAACCAGGCTACTGTGGTTTGCCTCTTTCATATAAATTGCAGATCGCTTGGTTGCATCTAATAAGAAAAAAAGCTAGCCTTTACTGTCACAGAGGACATAGATTGAAAATTGTTTAGGTTGGACATTGTTCCTTTTGAATTGCAATGTCTGTCCTAAGAAGCCGAAAGGTTGTTTCTTGTTATACCTTCATAGTTCACAACAATATTTCAATATCGTAGCCTTTTCATCCTCATTTTGGGTTAAGGTATGTATATCTTTTTTGCGCAGATAATTCAAGCGTTAAAATTTTATTGGAATCTCTTTTGCAATAATTGTTGAAAATATTGCAAGGAATGGAATGAAATGAAGGGTTTAGAACTACTTTTCCTGTAGTGACACTTGTTCTTATTGATGGTTGTTTTAATCTCTAGTTCTGTGTTTTAATGTCACAAATTACAAATGGGAGAGGCTTGTTATTGGGCTTGTGAGACCCACTACGGGTTTTACTTTGATGATTTGGTCCGTTCATTTTGTCCAATAAAAAAGATGAGATTAATTCAATAATTATAGTCATATTTTTTATGATATTTGTCTGAAAAAAATACAATAAAATAAATTTATTTATTTATCTAAGAAAGGTCTATTTGTTTTCTAAAGTCTTGTTTGATAACTTTTAATTTTAATTTAGAAGTCAAAAAGTTATTATAAGTTATCAGATCATTCTTTTTATTTTTTATATATATTTTCATAAAAAATTAAAAGAATCATTATTTATCAAAAAAAATTAAATATTAAAAAAAATTTAAAATAATTTGTTTTCAACGTCAAATCAGGAGAGGCCAGCTTGTATGAAGTACAGGCAACAATTTTGTAGGCTGGTAGTAGTATCAAAGACAAAGCCACTGGCTGAAATTGCCCACATTGATTAATGTTAAGTATTTTTTTTTTTTTTGGAACTAAAAAAAAGGATTCTATGGTGTCATCATGTTACGTTTGACACAAGGAAATGAAAGGAAATTTGGAAACGGAAATTTGGCCTTTTAACTCCTCTTAGCATTTTTTTTATTTTTTTGGTTATAAAGACAGAAAATTTTTTAGTACTTTTAAAACTCTTTTATAATTATAAAATTCTATATAAAAGATAAAATTTGTTATTTAAATATTTTATTTGATCATTATACCCTCTCTTCTATTTTTTACAGCACTCTCACTCTCTCTCTCTCTCTCTCTCTCTCTCTCTCTTCATCAACTTGATAATTGTTTATCGTCTCTGTCATCTTCATCATCTATCAGTATTGCTTATCCTTACCGTCAGCCGACAACCACCATCTTTACCGTTAAACCACCACCATCTCAGATTTAATATCTACGAATTCATATTTAAGATCAATAACTTCAGATCAAAGATAATAATAATAATAAAAAAAATAGATTTGGCAAAAAAATAAGAAATTAAGATATTGCAATGAAAAATTAAAGAGTTTTTGTTTGTTTGTTCATAGATGTAAAAGTAAAATTTGACTCTGATTCGTTCATTTAATATATACTTTGTTTTTGTTATAGTAAAATTTTACTTTGGTTAATAACATACTAATATACTATGACAATAAAATTTTACTCTTTTTTTTTTTTTTTTTTAATTACAGAATAAAATTTTACTCTGAATTTTTTTTTTTTTTTTTTAAAATTACAGAATAAAATTTTACTCTGAATCAGAATAAAATTTATTATGATTCAAAGTAAAATTTTACTATGAAACAATTTGTAAGGATGGCTTTATAGGAGAGTATTGTGTCATGAACCAAAGTAGAATTTTATTGTTAAAAGAACAGAGCATCATGAGAAGAAGAAAGAAAGATAAAGAAATAGAGTTCGAAAATAGAGGATCAAGAGAAGAAGAAGAAGAAGAAGAAGAAGAAGAAGAAGATGTGTGTGTGTGTGAGAGAGAGAGAGAGAGAGAGAGAGAGAGAGAGAGTTAGTTCAGATTTGAGGCTTGCGAACCGTCGCAAATCGTCATTTTTCGGTGACAACAATTGTGAATGATCTCAGATCTGAAGTTGTGGATACAACAAATGATGGCGGTGATGAAGACGGTAGAGAAAGAGTTCCATGGTGAGGGGCGGTGGTGCCGATGGAGAGCAGCGATGGCACCGATGAAGAGAATAGTGATAAGTGCAAGACAGAAGAAGAGAGATTGAGATGAGAGAGAGTGATTACAAGTTGATATACACACACATGTGAGGGTATTACAGTAAAAAGAAATAAGTTTTAAAATATTAGAGGGTTTTGAAAGGATCTATATAATTATTATCCTTTTGAAGGACAAGTTAGGCACTGAGGGGTCTATTATCAAATGCCCCATATAGAAATTGGTTACTACAACTACTAGCTAGCCAGTATAATTTTCAGTAATATTTACCTTACTCTTTTTATTTTATTTTATTTTTAATCATAATATTTTGTTTTCTGCATGATTGAATATTTGAATTCATTTACAAGTTAATTTATTAGTTAAAATAAATTTTTTGGAAAATATTTGGTAGCCCGAAACTAACTGGCTCGAAATTGGCTTGAAACCCAAAACGGTCGTTTTGGGTTTCTTTTTTTTTTTCTTTTCTTGCTTTTGAATACAGAGGCGAGAGAGAGAGCAAGAGAGGAGAGAGGAGAAAAGAGAAGAGGAAGAGAGAAGAGAGAAGAAGGGGAAAAGATTGAGACGGTGATGGCTTTGACGGTGATGGCGGTGATCACCGGTGGGTATTGTCGATTGCCACTACTTTTTTTTTTTTTTCCTAATGGATTTAAATCTGAAAATGGAGAAATAAATTTGTTGGTTGATGATGATGCGTTGATGATGAAGATGTTGTTGATGATGATGATGTGTTGATTGATTTTTTTTTTTTTTCCTAGTGGATCTAGATCTGAAAATGAAGGGGAAAAAAAAAATTTGTTAGCTACTTTCAGTGTTGATGATGATGATGTGTTCAGCTGCTCCCTCTTCTCTTTTGTTCTTCTTCTGCTTCTTCTTCATCTTCATCTTCATCTTCAAAAATAGCGAGAAAGAAAGAAGAAAAAAATATATATATATTCAAAAACGACGTCGTTTTGAATTCAGGACAAATTTAAGCTCGAAAATTTCGGGCTACATATCAGTTCTGTTTTTTTTTAGCTCACTTATTTTTTTGTCAAGAAATCTTCCCCCCCCCCCCCAAAGGGTAATCATATGATATAGGCTCTTTATAACTTTTATCACCATAAAAGTATTTTTTATACACCATAAAATGTCAAAATAAAAATTAGTGTCATAATTTTACTATTTTTAACTTTGTTTTTTTATTTTTATTTTTTTTTATTCATAAGAAAGTGTAGGAGGAGGGAAGGCTACTCCATTCCAGGGTCAGGGAAAACGTTATGCAATATCGTCCATCAACAAAGGACTATTGGCAACGGGAAGCGAATCAAAGCTAAATAGGCTAAGGGAATAAGTCTTACCAATTGAACCAACCCTTGTTGGTACTATTTTTAACTTTGATGCACATCTTTCATTACAAAAACTTATAATTTAATTACAATGCACTTATTTAGGAGTATATGCTGTAAATTTCTCCTAAAATATAACATTACTATAAATTTCATCATCATAACATGCTTAATTTATTACAAATTAATTCAGCATAATGGTGCTATCTTTGCCTAATTCATTTACCAAATAAATCACTAATCACTTATAAACACATCACTTTATACACAAATCCAAATTATAAAGAGAGTCTAATTATTTATGAGCGATCAGTGATTCATTTATTAAATGATTAGATAATCTTACACTGATTCAATTTAGAAATGCACAAATAGAAAAAAGAAGAAATCATTATTTCAATTGTACATAAATCAATCACAAAACCAAACACAACTATCTTCCATACAATTTGTGATAAATTTATGAATTCCTAATTTATTTATTTATTTATTTTTTCAGCAACAAAAGTTGACTTGATCTTCAAAGTCCTTGATGTTACCTTTAGGATTCCCTAAGAACCTTCTCAACCCAAAATGCTTTATGTCCACACCTTCCCCAGCCTCTCCACGCAACGCCATCTCCGCCAAGATCCTCCCCACCGCCGGCGCCATCTTGAACCCATGTCCCGAAAACCCCCCTCCCACCACCACCTCCTTCCCCATCTCTCCCCCCACAAAATCCACCACAAAATCCTCATCCGCCGTCATCGAATACATGCACGACTGCGCCACCACCGGCGCCGCCGCCTCCACCGCCCCTCCAAACCTCCCCTCTATCCACTCCTTCACCATTTCCACCACCGCCGGCGCCGTCGGCTCCCACCTCCTCTCCTCCGGATCGCATGGCTGACCCGCGTGCACCGGGATTTTTATCAATCCCGGAAACTCCAGCATCGGCGTGCCGTATATGTATGGCTCGCCGTAGCTGGCAAACGTCGGAAATCCGCCGGAGATCGTGAAATCGTCCTCGTGCCCCGCTTTGATCCGCCAGTATAAAACGCTGGTTTCTAGGGGCTGAATTGGGACTTCGATTCCGGCGATTCTTTTCACGAGTTTCTTCATCCAAGCCCCAACTGTGATTACGCATTTTTTTCCCCAAAACTTCTCTCCATTCTTTGCAGACACCGAAATGCCGCCTCTGAGACCGTCTCTCTCGATGTTCTCAACCTCCGTGTTGTCTCTCAACACAGCGCCGTGTTTGATCGCCAGTGTTTGAAACATGGAGACTGCTTTTGTGGCTTTGATTACGCCGCCGACTTCGCTCACCACGCCGACCCAGTTCTCCGGAATGGAGATTCGGCCGGAAAATTCGTCGAACACTTGGTGGGCGTCGAGGACTCTGTGAGGAATCGAGTCTGACTCGCAGTTGGCGATTACGGCTCGGAGAGACTTGTTGTCAGAGGGACCCATGTCGAATTGGGAGGTCTTGAAGTAGACTTTGTAGCCGATTTCGGATTGGGTTTCTTCCCAGAGCTTCGAGGAGTCCATAACCATGGAAGAATAGTAAGGTTCTGGGTATGTAGCGCGAATGGTTCTGGATTCGCCATGGGAGGAACCTCGGTGGTGTAAGAAATCGAATTGCTCGAGAAGGAGAGCTTTGAAGCCTCTTTTGGCGATTTGGTAGGCTGTGGAGCTACCCATTACGCCTCCTCCAACCACAATTACGTCGAATTGCTCGCCGGAGTTTTCCATCTCTCTCCTTTCTCTCTCTCTGCGTTTCTCTCTCTCTCTCTGCATATGGAAGAGAGAGGAGCGGCGGGGCATATAAATTTAGTTTTGTGTCTGCCTGTTTTGTCATCGTATGAAAGTTGAGCTGTCAATTTGATTTTGAAAAATGTGAGAACACCTAAATATTTTATCAAAGATTCTATTAAAACTCATATCATGAATTTTATATAAGTGTAAAATATTTAATATTTAAAGATTCAATAATGATTTTGACCATTAAAAAATATATTATTAATAATATTAATGTATTGGAAATAACAAAAAAAAAAAAGGCATAGAAAGTGGGTAGGGCCCACTGCCACATCACTAATTCTAGTGCTTCCTTTTTAGTGCTCCCACGCATTTTTCTTAAAGATTCTATTAAAAGACTCATATCATGAATTTTATATAAGTTTAGAGATCATGAAAATTTTGTCATGAAAAGGATCATGAAAAATTTGTGATTCTTAGATTATCTTGATTTGTGTGTGGTGCTTTATTGTAAATGTAATCCAAATGTCACAAATCATCATTAATAGCACTAATGCATTGTGAATAACAAAAAATAAAACAAAAAAACAAAAAAAATAAGGCATATAAATGGGCAGGGCCCACTGCCACATCACTACTGCTCTTTCTAGTGCTCCCTTCTTAGTGCTCCCAAATATTTTTCTTAAAAATTCTATTAAAAGACTCATATCATGAATTTTATATAAGTTTCATATTTATATAAAATATTTAGTGCTTCTTCTTCTCTGAAAAAAAAAAAAAAAAATTCAAAAAACGTCGAAACGACGTCGTTTTTATTTTCGGGGGATTAGGGGGGACGCTCTTTCGAGCTACGTAACACGACTCTTTTATATAAGTGTAAAATATTTAATATTTAAAGATTCAATAATGATTTTGATCATTAAAAAATATATCATTAATAGTATTAATGTATTGGGAATAACAAAAAATAAAAAAAAAGGCATAGAAAGTGGGCAGGGCCCACTGCCACATCACTAATGTTCCTTCTAGTGCTTCCTTTTTAGTGCTCCTACGTATGTATTAAAAGACTCATATCATGAATTTTATATAAGTTTCATATTTATATAAAATATTTAGTATTTAAAGATTCAACAATGATTTTGACCATTAAAAAATACATCATTAATAGCACTAATGCATTGAGAATAACAAAAAACAAAAAAAATAAGGCATAGAAAGTGGGCAGGGCCAACTGCCACATCACTAGTACTCCTTCTAGTTCTCCCTTTTTAGTGCTCCCAAACATTTTTCTTAAAGATTCTATTAAAAGACTCATATCATGACTTTTATATAAGTTTCATATTTATATAAAATATTTAGTATTTAAAGATTCAACAATGATTTTGACCATTAAAAAATACATCATTAATAGCACTAATGCATTGTGAATAACAAAAAATAAAAAAAAAAACAAAAAAAATAAGGCATAGAAAGTGGGCAGGGCCCACTGCAACATCACTAGTGCTCCTTCTAGTGCTTCCTTCTTAGTGCTCCCAAACATTTTTCTTAAAGATTCTATTAAAAGACTCATATCATGAATTTTATATAAGTTTCATATTTATATAAAATATTTAGTATTTAAAGATTCAACAATGATTTTAACCATTAAAAAATACATCATTAATAGCACTAATGCATTGTGAATAACAAAAAATTAAAAAAAAAAACAAAAAAAATAAGGCATAGAAAGTGGGCAGGGCCCACTGCCACATCACTAGTGCTCCTTCTAGTGCTTCCTTCTTAGTGCTCCCAAACATTTTTCTTAAAGATTCTATTAAAAGACTCATATCATGAATTTTATATAAGTTTCATATTTATATAAAATATTTAGTATTTAAAGATTCAACAATGATTTTGACCATTAAAAAATACATCATTAATAGCACTAATGCATTGAGAATTAACAAAAAAAAAAAAAAAATATAAAAAAAAAACAAGGCATAGAAAGTGGGTAGAGCCCACTGCCACATCACTAATGCTCCTTCTAGTGCTCTCTTTTTAGTGCTCCCAAGCATTTTTCTTAAAGATTCTATTAAAAGACTTATATCATGAATTTTATATGAGTTTCATATTTATATAAAATATTTAGTATTTAAAGATTCAACAATGATTTTGACCATTAAAAAATACATCATTAATAACACTAATGCATTGAGAATAACAAAAAATAAAAAAAACAAGGCATAGAAAGTGGGCAGGGCCCACTGCCACATCACTAATGCTCATTATAGTGCTCCCAAACATTTTTCTCAAAGATTCTATTAAAAGACTCATATCATGAATTTTATATAAGTTTCATATTTATATAAAATATTTAGTATTTTAAGATTCAACAATGATTTTGACCATTAAAAAATACATCATTAATAGCACTAATGCATTGGGAATAAAAAAAATAAAAAAAAAGCAAGGCATAGAAAGTGGGCAGGGCCCACTGCCACATCACTAATGCTCATTATAGTGCTCCCTTTTTAGTGTTCCCAAATATTTTTCTTAAAGATTCTATTAAAAGACTCATATCATGAATTTTATATAAGTTTCATATTTATATAAAATATTTACTATTTAAAGATTCAACAATGATTTTGACCATTAAAAAATACATCATTAATAGTACTAATGCATTGGGAATAACAAAAAACAAAAAAAAAACAAAAAAAATAAGGCATAGAAAGTGGGTAAGGTCCACTGCCACATCACTAGTGCTCCTTCTAGTGCTTCCTTCTTAGTGCTCCCAAACATTTTTCTTAAAGATTCTATTAAAAGACTCATATCATGAATTTTATATAAGTTTCATATTTATATAAAATATTTAGTATTTAAAGATTCAACAATGATTTTGACATTAAAAAATATATCATTAATAGTACTAATGCATTGGGAAAAAAAAAAAAAAAAAAAATAAGGCATAGAAAGTGGGCAGGGCCACTGCCACATCACTAGTGCTCCTTCTAGTTCTCCCTTTTTAGTGCTCCCAAACATTTTTCTTAAAGATTCTATTAAAAGACTCATATCATGAATTTTATATAAGTTTCATATTTATATAAAATATTTAGTATTTAAAGATTCAACAATGATTTTGACCATTAAAAAATACATCATTAATAGTACTAATGCATTGGGAATAACAAAAAACAAAAAAGAACAAAAAAATTAAGGCATAGAAAGTGGGCAGGGCCTACTGCCACATCACTAGTGCTCCTTCTAGTTCTCCCAAACATTTTTCTTAAAGATTCTATTAAAAGACTCATATCATGAATTTTATATAAGTTTCATATTTATATAAAATATTTAGTATTTAAAGATTCAACAATGATTTTGACCATTAAAAAATACATCATTAATAGCACTAATACATTGTGAATAACAAAAAATAAAACAAAAAAACAAAAAAAATAAGGCATAGAAGTGGGCAGGGCCCACTGTCACATCACTAGTGCTCCTTCTAGTACTCCCTTCTTAGTGCTCCCAAATATTTTTCTTAAAGATTCTATTAAAAGACTCATATCATGAATTTTATATAAGTTTCATATTTATATAAAATATTTAGTATTTAAAGATTCAACAATGATTCTGACCATTAAAAAATACATTATTAATAACACTAATGCATTGGGAATAACAAAAAAATAAAAAAAAAACAAGGCATAGAAAGTGGGCAGGGCCCACTGCCACATCACTAATACTCCTTCTAGTGCTCCCTAACATTTTTCTTAAAGATTCTATTAAAAGACTCATATCATGAATTTTATATAAGTTTCATATTTATATAAAAATATTTAGTATTTAAAGATTCAACAATGATTTTGACCATTAAAAAATACATAATTAATAGAACTAATGCATTGGGAATAACAAAAAATAAAAAAAAACAAGGCATAGAAAGTGGGCAGGGCCCACTGCCACATCACTAATGCTCATTATAGTGCTCCCTTTTTAGTGCTCCCAAATATTTTTCTTAAAGATTCTATTAAAAGACTCATATCATGAATTTTATATAAGTTTCATATTTATATAAAATATTTAGTATTTAAAGATTCAACAATGATTTTGACCATTAAAAAATACATCATTAATAGCACTAATGTATTGGGAATAACAAAAAATAAAAAAAAAAAACAAAAAAAAACAAGGCATAGAAAGTGGGCAGGGCCCACTGCCACATCACTAATGCTCCTTCTAGTGCTCCCTTTTTAGTGCTCCCAAGCATTTTTCTTAAAGATTCTATTAAAAGACTCATATCATGAATTTTATATAAGTTTCATATTTATATAAACAAAAACGCTAGAGGCCCCAAAAATTCTACCAAAAGTTTTACCAAATGTCTCACATGGGTGTGGGACCCACATGGGACCCACATTGTGTGGGTCCCACACCCATGTGAGACATTTGGTAAAACTTTTGGTAGAATATTTGGGGTCTTTAGCATTACTCTTATATAAAATATTTAGTATTTAAAGATTCAACAATGGTTTTGGCCATTAAAAAATACATCATTAATAGCACTAATGTATTAAAAAAAAACAAGGCATAGAAAGTGGGCAGGGCCCACTGCCACATCACTGCTGCTCCTTCTAGTACTCCATTTTTAGTGCTCCCAAGCATTTTTCTTAAAGATTCTATTAAAAGACTCATATCATGAATTTTATATAAGTTTCATATTCATATAAAATATTTAGTATTTAAAGATTCAACAATGATTTTGACCATTAAAAAATACATCATTAATAGCACATGCATTGGGAATAAAAACAAGGCATAGAAAGTGGGCAGGGCCCACTGCCACATCACTAATGTTCCTTCTAGTGCTTCCTTTTTAGTGCTCCCAAGTATTTTTCTTAAAGATTCTATTAAAAGACTCATATCATGAATTTTATATAAGTTTCATATTTATATAAAATATTTAGTATTTAAAAATTCAACAATGATTTTGACCATTAAAAAATAAATCATTAATAGCACTAATGCATTGGGAATAACAAAAAATAAAAAAAAACAAAAAAAAAAGGCATAGAAAGTAGGCAGGGCCCACTGCCACATCACGAGTACTCCTTCTAGTACTCC